TGGTTGTATGGTTAATTCATGAGTTTTGTTCATCTAAATTCCTAGGAGATAAGATGCCAATTTATGTATTTTGCATTGCCTGCGGTTTCACTTCCTTTACAAAAGTCACTACTCATGTTAGTAAGCTTTACTATAAGGGAGAGGGCATACACAAAAACAGATAACCTCCATTCTAAGCTAACTCAAGCAAGTAGTGGTCTGTTGTCCGCAAAGTTCTTGGATCAGATGCAATCTTATCATTCTCCTGACCTATAAACTGAATCTCTTCAACTAATTGACGTCTGATATCTTGACTAATATTAGAGCTTGTCTTGTGTAAGGTGTTCAAACTGCTTACTGGGAGATGCTTGATGAGAGAAGAATTTCACAAACAACGGCTGACATCTTAGTGAGATCGGTGGAGGAAGCTAGAGATTTGGCTTCATTTGGGCCTTTACGTGATTGGAAAGGTTTAAGAGATAGAGTTCGCTTCCCAAGTTATTACAATTTCCTTCAGACTGGAGTTTTACCACAGAAATTAGTTACATATTTTGTTGTGGAAAGATTGGAATCTGCATGTTGTATTTGTGCTGCATTCCTTCATGCCCATAAAATTGCTCGACAACAGTTGCATGACTTCACAGGTAACATTCTACCTTTGTGTTCTGGTCTATTTCATTATCTCATGCTATTTCCATTTTCTTGTGTAGAAAGTGATGTGTCTATGTGGTTGTATGGTATGAATGACCGCTTGCATGTTCTCTTTTATTTTCAGTTGGATAGGACGAGAATTTTCATTTCCCCTTTCTATATATATTTGGTTTATTCCTTCATTTGTTTTTGGGGTCTGATTGGCTGAGACGAGGCCAATCCTTTCCTATATATGTACTGCTATTCATATGATATAGTACCCAAGAGAACGCTAGACAAAACAACACTAGAAAATGAAATTACCCAAATTAACAGTAGGGAAAGCAGCACTGGAATTGATTAATATCACAATATTCCTCCCCCCGAACTGAAGGAAAGTCACACTAATCCCATAAAAATGTACAAGAAAATAATGAATAAAGACAATCTTCCTTCACCCCTGACCTGGCATTCAAGAGACTAAAGCCCTCCTCACTACTCTCAGATTACAAAATAAGTCTACCCCCATCCAGGATGCTCAATTGGTTAAAAAGATGTCAAAAATAACCAAAACAGTCCCCAAAACACTTTAAACAAAAGATAGGTCTAAAACACCCTAGAGCGCTCTAACTCCCAGCTTCTTTCTTCAAATTGGTGGAAGTCTTAATGTCAACTCTCTGACCAAGATAAAGCAACTTCTATTTTCCCTCTTGTCGGTCTGGCTAGCAGAGATGACTCTATCATTACCCTCCCCTAAAAGCTTCGCCTTGTCTTCAAGGTGAAGGTAAGTATTGGTGGCTTCCTCCATGTACTGCTCAGCTTACTTTGTTTGATTGTGTATACCAAAAGGAATAATTGAATTTCATCTTGAACCTTGGATGTAGATGATTCAATCTCTTCAATGGATTCTCTAGAAGTTATATCAACATAGGCATGAGACTCTTAATAGACAAAAGGATCAATTATAGAAGTCCAAGTTTCAATGAAACTAAGTGGAAAACCAGCCATCCTTTTGTTGAGAGTGACTCTTTCGGTAGAAATTATTGGCAACAAGAATTGAACAGAAGTAGATTTCTCAAGAAAACCTGTGAACTTATGGAGGAAAAGAATGTTTTCCGTTGATACTGAATGCTTTTGGTACATCACATATGTACAAGGGAGAAAGACAAAGGAGTAAAGGCTAATCAATGGGCCTAATAAATGCTAATAAACTGTAATAGAAATAGGATATTTCCATACTCCCCCTCGAGTTGCATCATAGATACTGATCATGTCCAACTTGCGTACACTCATCAACAATGCAAGATAATGAGAAGCCTTGCAAGATAATGTCTCCTAGAACAAAAGAACAAACAACAACAATGCTCAATTACCTTTCACAGTTGGCAACAACCCAAGGTGTTATGATATTTCTTTTGGCAATTAATGCTATAAATGTAATTGGGATGAGCAATGTTTATTTCCCCTTCATCTATGTCTTCAGGCGACAGTGATATTTCATCCATCATCATCAATGAAAGCGTTGTAGAAGGAGAAGAAGCAAGGAAGTTCCTTGATGATGTTCATATGAAATTCCCTCAGGTTTGAAGTTAAACTCGTCAGTCAGTGTTTCTTATTATTAGTTTTACTGGAACCTTGGATTCTGCTTGTCGAATTGATTCATCCATGCTCCATATAACAGTCAAAGTTTGTGAACCTTAAGTATCGTTTTGAAGCACTACAAGGAGAAGATTACTTCCCTAATATGCATTATGTATTTGATATGTCCACTTTTCAGGTTCTTCGTGTTGTGAAAACAAGGCAAGCTGCATATTTAGTGTTAAACCATTTAATTGAATATGTTCAAAACCTTGAAAAGTCTGGGTTACTGCGGGAGAGAATGAAGCTGCATCTTCATGAGGCTGTCCAGGTATCTCCAGGAGTTATCAGTTCTTTTGTTTCATGTGTGGTCTCAAATTGAGCGCTCTCGTGTGAGAAATTGCAAAATCACATGATGGTTTCTTTTGTTTCAGACTGATTTGAAGAAATTAGTTAGGACTCCTTTATCGTTGAAGTTTCCTGAAAAGAATAGTATACATCCTATGTTGGGTTCCCTGCTATCTTCTGTCCATGAACCACTTTCAAGCAATAGCAGGGGAATGATGAAATTGCGTGGTCTGACACTTTACAAAGAGGGATCCAAACCAGACGGTATTTGGTTAATTTCTAGTGGGGTTGTGAAGGTGAGACAATGATTTTTTATTACTCAGCTCTAGATTTTTGTGATCTAATTTTTAATGCAAATGAAGCGTATTTGAATATTGCTGTTTTGGCAGTGGGAAAGCAATAGAATAAGAAACAAGCACTCCTTTTGTCCAACTTTTACTCATGGCAGTACATTGGGTCTGTATGAAGTACTCACTGGAAGACCATATATCTGTGATGTTATAACAGATTCAGTAGTGCTCTGTCTTTTCCTTGAAGATGACAAGATATTATCCTGTCTCAAATCAGATCCCTCTGTTGAAGACTTCCTGTGGCAGGTATGGGTAATAATATTATTTCTACATCTGCTGTGGGATGAATGTTTTTGGCTGCTTATTGATTTTGAAAGCACAGAATACATGGTTTGTGGCAATTATGCTGTACCTCAAAAGTGGGTTTCTTTTCCTTTATTAAAATTGCGTCTTTTACAGTATACTTCATCATGGGTGTCATAACCGATCAAAAGATGTTTCTTAATGGATGCTTGGTACTGCAGAAATCAGAAATGTTATGTAATATGATTAGACGACTATGATCATTTATGATTTGCTGCGACACTCAGATTATTCTGTATTGCAGGAGAGTGCTATTTTCCTTTGCAAGATCTTGCTTCCTCAGATATTTGAAAAAATGGCAATGCAAAATTTAAGAGCCCTTGTTGTGGAAAGATCTGTAATGACCGTATACATTAGGGGAGAATCGATAGAAATACCTCACCATTCAGTTGGAATTTTACTTGAAGGATACGTTAAAATGGAAGGTCTTCAAGAACTGATAACATCACCAGCTGCTCTTTTGCCTTCTCCTGGGAATCTAATTTTCCAGAATCTGGAAGCTTCTGGTAAGTGAAATTAATTTATACTTTCTCAGGTATGTTTTCCAGTGTAATCATGTTATTGTTTTCTTTTTTTTTCTTCCCAAAAAAATAAAGACCTAATTACAGGGCATATCTTCCCTGGATACTGCATCATTGATGCTTATCATAGGTCTTTTTAGATTAAGAGCATTAAAATGAGAGGCTTAGGGCAAGATGATTTTTTTAACCATTTCAATAAATCATATTATCTGTTTCTATTGCATATTCTGTTTCACTATTTCAGTTAGAAACCAAACGAGCAAAAGGAAACCTAATTTATACTTCTTTTCTTGGCTTTCAATGATAACAGGTATAGAAAACGGAAGTTTTTCTCATCAAGCTTCATCTTATCTAGTTGAAAAAAGAGCAAGGGTAATCGTGTTTGACGTTGCAGCATTTGAGGCTGATGCTGTTCTTTCTAGAAGGTCAAGTTCACTGTTAACTCATGCAGTTGATTATCCCCATGGATTAAGCAAGGAAAATAGTGGTTTGTTAAGTCTGCTTGGAAATTTCATCAAGCCAAGGCAACATAAGCGATATTGCCAAGGTGTTGGACAACAGACCAATAGTTTGTCTGCAAGGGCAATGCAGTTTAGCATTTATGGTTGCACGGTATGTTGGTACATTAGGTTGATATTAGCTTCATTGATGGGAAACTTTTTGTGCATGGTATTGTTCTCACATTCAGTCAATCAGTCACTGAAAGAATTCAGCACTTAATTAGCAAGGGTTTGAACTTTTGATGGATAACCTCCCTTGCCTTTGTAGGGCTAGGGGCCTCTAATGTGCCTCCATTTAGTGCTCTCTAATGCCCTTTAAAACGTCTTATCTTCCACATATTTTTTTCTTATTTTTTTAGTATTAAATTCTGCATAAAATGAATGACATTTTGATATCTTATGGTAGTTTTGAATTTTCATAATTCTATATAAAATGAGTGAGATTTTGATATCTTATAGGCATAAAATGATGCACCATTTTATGCTCATAAGATATCAAAATCTCACTCATTATATGTAGGATCTAATGCTCAAAAGAAATAGGAAAAAACATTGGGAGTTTGGTGTATTACAAAAAGCATTAGAGAGAGGCACATTAATGGCTCCAAAACCGCCATCGTTATGTCATTTTTTTCCTTTGTAAAAAAATTGAAGCTTTTGATATAACATCTGTTCCTAGCAAATTTAGTTGCTAGGTATAACTGATTCTCCTTGTAAAAGTATTTTGATTTGGTCTGATTCTGATCCTACACAAGCTTAAGCGGAATAAACTGTAGTAATTGACTCTCAGGTAAGTTTCTAATATGTTCAAAGGTTTCTGTTGAATGGAGATTAGTCGATGAATCCTTCGAACTGAGAGGTGTAACTGTCAGCACAGAAGTCGCATTGACCATCAAGTTCTCAGACTGTAAAATCTGCACCGTTTTTTAAGAATATCACGAAAGTCAACGAGGAATTGAAATTATTTTTATTGTTACAACTTGCAAAAATTCTTGATCTGTCTCAAGCTTATTTTCTTTAACTTCCCATCTGATTTTTCAGGTGGACATCTGTCAGCGGAGAAGTTTGTCCGGCAATCCTTCAGGAACCCCTCATATGAAGATGGACCTTGAAGTGAGCCAGTGCACAGGGAATGTTGCAAATGCCTCTGTCCAAAGCAGAGAACAAAGGGGAAGTTATACGGATTACACAGTTGCTGAATCTGCTGGTGAAGAAGATACCATAGTAAGGATTGATTAACCAAGAAGGCAATGTTTTGGGGAATCATCAATTTGATTATGATCAATGGATCATTAATTTTATTCAACTAATAACTTATTTTTAAAAACACTGATCTCTCACAAACAAATTATATACTAGAAAAAGTCAATTCTATGGAAGATTTCTCACCGTCTTGTTATTGAAAAGACAAAAAACTTCATGCGCTACTTGTATGCTAGACTAGAATCAAAACCAAGAAAAGAGATGTTATTCACAGTAGAAGGCCTGAATTCCAGAGGATTATTCCACTCCTTCAAATGAGCTTTTGACCATCTCATTTTTGCATTTTTAATCTCAAGACCTTCAATGTGCTCCATCATTATTCCAGCAGTTTTGTGTTTGACCAATTCATGGCATCCAGGCCTATAGTCATATAAATCACCAGGATAATTGGTAATCCTTCTGTAAGTGAGATTCACGTTGACGAATCTCAGGTTTCTTAAAAGCCCTCTTTTTGAACCAGAGAGGAAGACACCATTTTCTGAATTTGCTGTGATGTTAGCGAAAAGTATGTTTGAAATTGAACCCTCCTTTGAGGTTGAGTTTCTTGGGCACGTCGTGACGTATATTGGTTCAGCTCTTCCCCACCATAATGGGTCGTAGTATCTTGTGCTGATTTTTATGTTTGAGAATACAATGTCGCTTACATTTCCTGCAAAACAACGTTTAAATTTCAAAACATCTAGTGCCATGTCACACGATCCATTGGCAAGTCTTGAACAAAGTAGCATTTCATATGATCTAATTTATCAACTTTTGCCTGAAGTAAAAAGAAACTAATCATCTTAACTCATTTCCAAACATGTTATAGCTCTCGTAAGTCTGATTTCCTCTTTTTTCCTTCTCTAACCAATAAAACTCATTTCATGTGTTTTCCCAGCCATTACTGATAAAACGCGAAGACCTAAACTGAAACAGGGAACATACCTCCATCACGGATCTGAAATCCCAAGCCTCTATGAGAATCCACAATGGTGATATTATCGAAGACAAAGTGTTTGAAATCGAACACACTGGCACTGCCAAGCTTGATGGCACAAGACTTTGTTCGAATCCAACAGTTAGTGGCAGTGAGGTTGAAGACAGCACCAGTGGATGATTTTGGGCAGATTGCATCGTCCCCAGTGTCAATGTGGCATCTGTTGATTACTGTGTTGTTTGAGTCCTCAATGTCAATCCCATCATTGTTTGGTATATTGAAGTCTCCATAAATTGAAACATCCTCAACTGTTATCTTGTTGCTTCGTACCAAGTGTAAACTGCATATCACAAATGTTGATGAAATGTTTAAAAAGTCTATGCGATTTACTCTTTTCTTTTCTTTTTTTCTTTTCCCAGTTATACTTATCCCAAGTTCTGGATCAAACAATATGTTGACACAAATAATTGAGTTACTTGGACCTGAAGCAACATCAATATAAACAATTATTTCTTATAAAAAGACTACGTAAACCTTTCTCTATTTTCGACACGTATTAAGACCTTCCTCCAAGATAAGGACTATATACACTCTCTTTTGAATTTTGCCAATTTTTTATTTTCAAGCCAAGTTATTGAAAGACTGACTTCAAATTTGCGTGCAAGGAACTCAAACCCAACGAAATGGTTTTACGCAATTCGTTTAATTTTCCATATATAAATGTCCCCACCAACACCAAGCTGAGATCATCTTATCTTTTAGCTTCAAATAACTTCTTAACACTGGAAATTTGATTTAAACATCTTTAAAGTTTAAAATTTATGCAAAGACTCTCCATACTAATAATCAACCTATTATTTCATTGATAAAATAAAACATCATAGGAGTTTATTTATATCAGAATTAAAATCTCTGAGAGTCATCTATCCACATCCCAAAGTCCCCAGAAACGACAAAAAATTATCTGCATAATTTTTTTTAAAAAAAAATCATTTAATCCCTCCAATTTTGACTTAGATAACTTGTCCAACAATCCCTTTTCAGCCATTTAATCCGTGAGTCCATGTAGCTTCAAAAAACTCATCATCTAGTTCTTCAAGAATCAATAAGTAACTGAACCATAGAATGTAGAAATTAATAGATTAAGGGTAAAAACTAAAAACTTGATAAACTGGGTTGCAAGGAATTAAATTGTAAGAATAAATGATTAATTTTCCAAAAAAAAATAGCATAAAAGGAATATATAATAAGAAACTGACCACCAGTAAGCAGGCTCATAGAGAGTAATATTGGAGACTCGAACATTGGTGCAGCCCAAAAACCCAATAAGCCTGGGCCTACACTCATCCCCTAAGCAAGCCCCCGTGTCATTCCAACTCACCATTACGTTCTTCCTCACATTCTTCCTCACCACGTACTTCATCGCCTGTCCGTCTACCACTCCCCCGCCGCCGATCCCCACCTCCGTCGCGTTCTCCGCCACCACGGCGTACCATCGCGACGGGTCCCGAGGATAGTCCCTCTGCCTCGTTCCTGCCAGGATCCTCGCTCCGGCCTCCACGTTCAGCACCACTCCCGATTTCAGATACACCGTCGCCGTCAGGTACTTCCCCGGCGCCGGGAAGTTGACCTTGCAGGGACAGCCGACGGGACAGGAGTCGATCGCCGATTGGATTGCTCGCGTGTCGTACCGGCGACCATTGCCTACGGCTCCGAAGGCCGTGACTGAAACTGTGATTGGGATCGGGTTCAGAGCTAGTGAAGTGGCAACATGTGATAGGAGGATAAAGTAAAACGAGATGATTTGAAGGAAAAAGAGGTAAGGTTTGGGCATTTCTGGCTTTGCTCTCATTGTGGCTCTATAGATTCTTGCCTTGCTTGGTGTGCAAATCCAAATCTATATAGTCTCGCACCCTCATGCATATTTCAAAAGGATAACATCATCTTGTTCTGATCCCGAATAATATCAAAACTCAAAAACTCCATTGGATCGAATGATTAAAAAATTCAAAATATTGCCGGAATTGTTGGATTAATAATTCACGTAAGACCAGCGGTTAAGACCAGTGGATAAGGCCAAGGATGTTCCCCGCTTGAGGCAGTCAATTATGAGAAAATAGTAGAAAAAGACCGTCAAAATAAAAATATTATAAATAAGACCCATCACAGTATTATGGGTTTTGATAATAATAATAATATGAGTTTTGATCATAGTTCACAGGTTGTGTGTAATTTTTCAATGTTTAGGATTTTTTTGCGATTTTCCCTTCAATTATCGGTCCGAAGTCCAAGCCTCATATGGATTTTTAATATTTTTTATATTAAATAAAAGAGGATGCAGAATATTTCTTTCTTTGTGTTTTTTATTTTGCCAACGCTGGACTGCCGATTTCGTCTACCAAAAAGATGCCCATGTGATGATGTGACGTCCATCTCAAATGAATTTTTTTTAATGATTGGGTCAGATCTAAATATTATTATACTCAACCAGGATGCTTTTCTAAGGAAATCTTTTACATTTACACCAACTCAAATTCAAACTCGAAATTTTATGTTTAAACAATCAAATCTCTTTTGGTTTTACTCAAAACTTTTCGAAGGAAAAAAAATACTCCTCCGGTCCTTAATATAAGACTCATTTAACTAATTTGATTAGATTAAGGAAGTTAGGTAAGTTAGTTAATTATAAGAAAAATGACACATTTTTCCTAAAACACCATAATCATCTTTCTTAATACCTCCTCTCCCTTTTCTACTTGATTATGGTTGAGGGAGTATCCATAGGGGTAATTTAGAGAAAATTGATAAATATAAAAAATGGGTTTTATATTTATGACCAAAACTAACTCAAGAATTGGGTCCTATATTAAGGACCGGGGGAGTATAAAAGTATGCGCTCAAGCATGTAATGGTCATCTCCGAGGGCAAGTGCAAATTCTTTCCTCTCATGAACTGAAAAAAGTCAAACAAATAAGTAAATCAGACAGTGCTTGAAGCATGGGGGGGGGGGGCTAAGACAATGTTGTGGAGAATAAATATGAATCAGCGCAGCATATTGATGCTCATGGTTTTCATTTGTTGGCAGAGAAGTATCAATTTCACCGGAGTCATCAATGGAACAGGATCTCATCACAGGGTTCATTTGCTAGGTTCGTCAGTGGAATGATTCTTTTGGGCCAAAAGACACTTACTGCACAATTGAAGCGGTAAAAAGGAGGTAATGATGTAACCCAAAAAATTGAGGTGATGATAATATGATTCTAGACAGGGACATATTGGGCCATGAACATAAACAAGGCTATTCCACTAAAAAACAAAAAAGACATAAACAAGGCAATTAATTTTGATTCATTGGATGGACCCATCAGCAGAAAGAGTGGACCACAAAATAGCTTAGATTGGGCCTAATTACAAATTTTATATCACTCTTCAGAGAAATTGGTGTAGGAGGGCCATTGGCACCCTGTTTCTCTATCTTAATCCTTAGCAGCGTGATGGGGAATGAGTGGAAATTAAGAACTGAACATCATTGTCATGAACTGCTCCAATCAATTACCATAATTATTGTCTTTAATATAAGAGCTAGATAATTAATATGAGAATATTAAGAAAATTAGTTAAGTTGGTTATTTGTCATAAATATGTATTAATTTTCCTAAACTAATCATTTTCAATCATGTGCATTGGATCATTAGAATTATCTCCTGGTAAGAATCCCTTGCAATTAATAGGAATATTTTGAAGAAATATGAGAAATAAAACGAATTGAGATCTTATATTTAAAACCAAATTCAATCCTCAACTAGCTCTATACTAAGGGCCAGAGATAGTGTATGATATCTTTGTTTTGTATTCTCATTCCTTGACTTTGGAGCCCAACATTATGTTCTTAGTACCAAAATCTCCAGTCTTTGCTTAAACTTTACTTTTTTAAAATGTATATCCAGAGAAATTTTGTCATGGGTTGCTTGGGAATGAAACTCAAAACAACTTGAGTTGCTTGAGAATTCCACTCTTCTTCTTGGGAGTAAAACTTCCAAACAACTCGAGTTTCATGAATTTGTTGAAAGAAACTCAAAAAAAAAAAAACGAAAAAGATTGGAGACGTGTGAGAAAGAGGAGAAAGGAGAGGTAAATCAGAGTTGATAAAAATTATAAAACAATATCAAATGTTGCCTTTAGCACCAACCCACCGTGACTCTTTTTTACTTGTGGCTTTTTTCCCAAAAGTCAACTGGAGAAAAGAGTTCACCAAACATATGCTTACCTTAACATTTACCATCAACCCACGTTTCACAATTTTCAATTCACGCTGACACTCATGACATAAATCCAAACAAAGCCATATTTAATATTAGAAGTGGAAAATTGAGGTAGGAACTTGGACCTTTGCTTTGCATCAATAAACATCAAAATTAAGACTTTTCATCATCTTCTTATCATTCTTTTCAGTGCAAACACAGTCTATGGCACAAGCAAACCTCGTCTAGTTAATAGGCCTGCATTCTTTTCTATATGTAGGAGTTGTTCATTTTCCTAAAATAAAGATCTTTCCGAGAAAAACTGCCCTGTGCTATTCATTAACCAAGTATGGCCACCCACTGAACAATAATTTGTAAATTGCAAGATGATGAAGCTAGTGGTAGATCCATTATGATTATTGTACATGAAGTATGAGTAGTGCTCCATACACAAACGATTAAACCATTCATTAAGCAGATATCTGCAAATAATTATTCTTATTTTATTGCCATAATGCTGTAATTAATGCAGGGAGTGCAGCATGTGGTGTGGGCCTTATGTAAGTGATCAGCCTGGGACATGCATGAGATAATAAGGCATATAGATACAAACCAGATCCTTAGCTTGGCTTAGTTGCAGAATTAGAATATAACAGATAACATCGAACCACTGAAATTGTTCACTGAATTTGAATCAAACTGTATATATGTATTACCAACAATGACAGAAGAATAAACATAACCAGAAAACAAAAGTAATGAATCCCAGTTGAAGAAGCAGAATAAAGACAAAAGTAGTTAAGAGACAAAATCATAGTAGTCAATTATATCTCCATGGTGTGACTCACTCCCCACCATCTCACAAACACATGCATGCACACACACACACACAAACACAAAAATGATTAAAAAAAATAAAGCTCATCAAAATATTGCTGACACTCTCACTTTTGCCCCTGCAGCTGTCACAGTGTTCCCCACAAGTACTGGCTACTGAATTAGGTCAAGCTTGCCACCACAATTTTAAAAAAAAAAGATAAAAAGATAAAAGTTTTGTAAATATATAAAGGATCAAGGTGGAAGAAGTGATACTGGTTCATTAGTGACTTTGTGGGTGAATAATGGGGCCCATGTTAGATACTGTCTTCAAATGTGCGTGCTTTGAAATCTCTAGGGTTTGACTTCATGATATGATTTGGTGCATGAGGAAGAATATATAATTCTAAGCCCTTAAAGCAACAACAACTCCATTAATTTGTATGGAATATTAGACTAATGATTGTGGGATTAGTTCATGAGATTCACCATGTATTGCCACAGATGCACCATTCTCTGTCTCGCCTGTTTAATTTGTCTCATATTCTTGTTCTTTAGTGGTCAATAAAATATGCTCAGAATCAAGACTTTGGCTTAACAAGTCATGGCTACTAAAGGGGTGTTTGGCAACATTGAAAAGTGCTTCTCAGAAGCACTTTTCCTCAAAACGAGGCAAACTTCTCTACATATTTACTTTATAAACCATAAAAGCATTTTTAAAACCATAGTTTGGTTTTTATCCAAACACCCCTTAAGTGGGAATGCATTATCATGGATTGGAATCAGTGGATTATATGCATTTCTCATAATTTTTGTTAACATTGTAAGCAGTGTTCAAAATCTTCTCTTAATAAAGAATAACAGCTTACGTAAGCCTAGCACTGGGAAAACGGGCCGGCCCGGCCCTCCAGGGCCGGCCCGTCACGGGCTCGGGCTTAAACGGGCCGGCCCGTTTAAGCCCGAGTTCAAAAAATGAAGCATTTTCCCAAGCCCGGCCCGTGAGATAACGGGCTCGGGCTGGCCCGCGGGCTTTTGACCCGTTTAACTAAAATGTATTTTTATTATTTTTCTTTACTTATTTTATCGAAATAATAAAATGAAACAACAAAATTACTAATAAAAGATATAAATAAAAATAAAAATAAGTCACAAACATAAATATCATTATGTTAAAACATCTATCACAGTGTAATAAAGTCTATTGAATGAACAAACTAAATAGAGGACAGACATAAACAACTAAATAAACACTAAGTTCAGTAAATAATTACAATATGGATGATCTTGTTTAATTATAAATAATTAACAAAAAAGTTTAACTAACAAACATAGTATATATAAAAAATAATTGTTTGTCCTACTGACAAAAAAGAAAAGAGTTCATCATCCATAGTTCTAAATTTGTTTCTAACTATAAAAATGATATAGATTTTTATTTTAATTCAAAAGATTCTTTAACCAATTCTATTTCAAGTATAAAAAATATGAAAGAATGATAAATAAAGATTGTAAAATAACACATACAGTATTTTAATAGGTTTTGACAACTTATAAATAATAACACATTTTTGTTAATATACTTAGAATTATGGTGATTTCTTTTTTTGTGAATGCCATTTGTGTAAGCAGTGGGGGTAAGTAAAACTAAGAGTATATTATGTGTAAAATGTTAGGGTTTTCCTTTTTAAGTTAAGAAAAAAATATAAAAATTAAAAAAAAATTATTGGCGGGCTTAAACGGGCCGGCCCGCGGCCCTACAGGGCTGACCCGTTTATTTTTCGGCCCTACAGGGCTGGCCCTTTTAAGCCCGACTTCCCTTTCAAGACTCCAAAATACAAGCCCGGCCCGCGACTTAAACGGGCTCGGCCCGACGGGCTCGGCCCGTTTTCCCGGCTCTACGTAAGCCTCTAGTGATTTACTTTATTTTTTTTTTCAAATATTACATAGGCCTCCCTAATATTTTTAATAAAATCGTATATACTTTGAAAAGAGATTTTTGGTAATTTAAAAAAAAAAAGTGGACAAAAGTTGTATTATTCTAAATATAAAAACTAAATTTAATATATGTGCGTGTAACTTACTTTTTTGTCCAAGGAATAATTTGCTTGTAAAATAAAAACCATTATCAGCTATCTAGAAAGGTGTGTCATGCACAGCATAGAGAGTGCTGCGTAAATTTATTGTTTTATTTTAATCTATAGCTCATTAGCTACTACTTTTACAAATTGGATTCCTGTCAAAGCTTTTTCTACCCTTAAAAAAGCATTAAATGAGGTGACAATAAGGTAAAACAAATTTTTCGGTGAAGTTAAAAGTGTTGTGGGGTAATTACAGGGTTACTGTATGTAAGCAAAAGTCAAGTGAAGCCTTTTGAGCTGGTGATTAACTTTAAGTGCATCGTCTTTAGATTCTTTACTGTCCTTTTCTTTTTCTTTTCTTTTTTTCTTAGTTCATCAAAAGAGACGAAGAACCGAAGAATGTTTGTTTCTTAACAACCGCCTTTTGTTAAAGCTATCATCATTACTATTCAAAACGAATCTTCTGAATATAATTTTGATGATCGAGAGATGTTCAAGTCCCTGACATCAAAACACACACACTCACACTCATACGAAGCTGTAGAATTCAGAGAGTACTAGCCATGATTTACTCACTATATGTTCTTCTGCAGGTTGATTTGTGATCTTTAAACACTTGTACGTAACTTCAAACCTATATGGAGAGCCAAAAAAGTTAAGTAAACAAGAAACAGTGATGTTTGCGAGTACATGAAGAAAAACACATTGGAATTTGGGTGAAGTTTGTTGGCAGAAATTTAGGTTTCAACAGTTAGTGCAACTGTTGAGAGTTGAGAATGAGAGACTTTATCAAAGGGAAAAAGTGGCATTGCAGAGATATTGGCATCTCATGGGGTGTCTTTGTCAAGTGTCAAAACAATGCCAATCTCACTTCTCTTTCCTTTTCCTTTTTCTTTCCTTCCTCTCATATTTCTTTTCTGCATATTTCCTCTTTTCCTCTTTCTTTTCTTGTACTGGCCAGACAACAACCCTCCTATCACTTCAGCTCAAACAGTTTTCATGTTGGACCTCATCAGTTTCTCCCAAATATATACAGCTTTAATTTCAAGTTAACCATATTGAATTAGTAAAGATATTGGCTCCAAGTTAATTGATTTGATAATAATAATGTAACCATGAGATTAAATTATATATTTTTAATTATATATATATAAATTCGAGTCATCTCGGTACCCTAGCGTTAGGTTCAAGCTTTGGCTCAACCCAAAACATTTAGAAAAATATGAAAAATAATTGAGCATAAAAAAGATTAATTAATATCATTCAAAATATGTTTCTTATAAAACTAATACGAGGATCAAAAGTAACCGTTTTAAAATTATATATATTTAAATATTATCCTTTATATTTTTTTCATGATAATAAGTTATAAATCAATTTAAAATTCTGAAAGAGGTTAAATAAACTGAAATCATAAAAAATATCCATGATGATCATGAAAAATACTATATTGCATGAGAAGTATTGAGAAAAACAATAACATCAAATGATTATTTCACAAAAAAAACAAGTTCCAGCTATTTTATACATTACTTTATCATACATGCATCTCTCCATATATATATGGCCTTAATTTTCCAACTATACAAATGGATGTTCATCCCTTTCTCACTTAAATTTCTTGCATAGAAGAAACCTTCTTCGATCACCTCATACTCTTAAGTTCATGATGAGCAAGCCACACTACTTACAAGTTATAAATAGTATAGCTCACTTTAGACCTGTGGAAGGCATCAGAAAACGTGTCTTCTTGCTGTTATGAAAACAAAGCAAGTAAGGCCCAAAAGCTGCTCTAAATAAAGCTAGCTAGTAAGGCAGCCAGCGAGGGAGCGAGTCAGAAGAATAGTGACCACCGTTGGTTCAACCTTTGGTTCTGATAATGGTGATGGTACCTCTTCCCTGGGTGTGAATCCTGGTGAGGGCCACCACCTCTTTGCCTGAAAGTCCTGGACCCTCCGCCGACACGCATGGCCGACATGCAAAGTCCCCCACTGGATGCCTCACTGGTCTTGTGGGACGCATCAAGATCCTCTCGTTTATATCATTCAATGTCACATCACCTTCTCTTCCTCCTGGCTTCACCAACGCAAATGGATATGCCACTTTTGTTATCACCCTCTTCTTTCTCTTGTCACTTTCTGCAGAAACAAGTCCCACATCGAATCAAATCATATTACAACGCATCACATACAAGTAAAATGAACGGAAATGTGTTGATACATATTGCATTAACTAGCTCCATCATACTTACTATCTTCGGCTTTTAACCATTAAGAAGAAGAAGAAAATGAAGTATAGTAGTATACCAGCTATTGTGTCATCTGTGGTTTTAGATATATTTGGATTTTTGTTGTAGGAAGATGAGGACGAATGTGGAGATTCAGATGCAGATACTGTCTCTTCTGGTGTCCCTGCAGTTAGTGCTAGGATGCTTGCTTCCTCGTTCATTCTGCTCATCATGCATGATCTTCTATACTCATCTACAATTAATAGCACAATATATATATATGCATATTAAATATTAGAAAAATCGTACTTAAGTTTTAATTTCTTCACGGCCAAATAAAGAGTGAGTGATGCATGGCTGTGTATTTCTTTGTTTTTCTCTCTGTAACCTACTGCCGACATGATTACTTACTTACTACAGTAAATGCATGTGCCCTATCTTTTATTGTTTGAATTCGATAATGAGAGTGCTTTGACTTTAACACTATTATCATCCAATGAATGCAACGAGACTAAAGAATTAATGTCTTGCATTTAAACTTGGGAAAATTGAAGATACCTGAAAATTCTCTTATGCTTTCTATCTGGTTCATGCAATACAAGTTCTCTGCTGGCTGGAGTACTGATAAAGGGTTGAAATTCCACAAGCTCTGAAAGCATATATTATCCATCTCAGTTTTCAGGAAGGATCCAGAGAAGAATTTCGAACTGATTAACGAGAATATCATCTTAAATAGCTACCTTTTCAAGTCCAATATCAATTAAGGGACTCTTGCTTGCTGGTTCATGATCCACACATGGAAGCAAGCGACGACGTTTGGAATGTTCAGTAAACTCAAGCAAAGCATCTTCCAAGTACCCAGATGAGAAATCTGAGAGCTCTGGAGGTGAGAAGTATGGTGCCATTTCATCCATAACTGCATATGATTCAACACATCAGCAATCATTGTGAGCATTCTTTCTTTCATTCATATAGATAAGAACATGAAAAAGAAGGATAAAGAGAGAAAGAGAGAAACAAAAGGGGTGGTACCTAAAGACATTTTGTCTGCGTTGAGAACTCCAAGACTGTGATAATCCCAAAGGGAAGATCCATTGATGAAGCTGCAGCTAGGAGTAGAGTAAGGTAGGGAGTGAAGCTCACTACTCATTTTTGTGTGCTCAAATGATGGGAAACGGGGTCTATTTATGTACGAGTTGTTGAAAGAAATATATTGTAAAGCAAAGTGAAATTTAAAAAAGCCAAAAAAAAAAACCTAGATTCTCTACATGTTTTGGACATTTGTTGGGAATATAAATAGTATTATGAATAATTTAGATTAAATTTAGATGGTTAATACCTTTCAAAATGAAAAGTTAATGAAATATAAATCATTTCATGTATCTGATTCTGAATCATTTAGGTCTGATTTAAATGGTTCATTCCCAGACCTCACTTGACTAAATCATACACATACAGCCAAAAGATACATAATGAGATGGATATATAGATGGGAATTGAAGAAATGTAGGGGATAGAGTCAGTCAACAGAAGGAAGGATAAAGTGGATGTTTGGTATTGGGATTCTAAAAATGGGATCACTTTAGTGGTTTGAATTTATTTCCTTGGTTATATGTGTGGGGGACTAAATAATTGCAATGGTTATGATAATATGTTGTTGAATGTGAAAAAGCAAACCAGTAATATATGCATATGCAATGAGGCATAAAAGGACATAGGCCCCCAAATGAGGCAGAATTCAAATTTCAGCTTTTTCCTTTTGTGTTTTTTCGTCCTTGTATGGTTACCAACTGTTTCTCTTTTTTGGTTTTTAAATTTATTTATTTTTACAAATGATTATCTGATAGCTTACACTTACATTATTAAACCATATTCAAACATTACCAAATTAATAGGAGGAATAGCTCTCACAATGCAATTGTTTTGATCTGCAATATTCAAACTATCACTCTAATTTGAGGTCACTTAAAACAAGCATTTTATTTACGAGGAATGATATCTTCTTTTTGTTTTTTTCCCCGACTCAACATGAAGAGATTTTTATTTTTTCCCCCGATACACACACATATATGTTTTAATATTGTGGGGTCATATCGGTTGCACCTTCCACTTCTACCCTATGGAAAATGAATTTCATGGAGGGGGGGGGTCATTTAGCGAGGGTCCCACACAAGATGGCATGCTGATACGTGGGCCCGTGTTAAAAGAAAAGGTGCGGAAGAAAGAAGAAATGATTTCGTGAGTTGGGGGTTTGGGATCTTGGGACCACCTTTGTTTTTCATCCGTGGCTTTGGTTTGAATGGTCCAATTATGTGACATTTTTGCAAATGGATTCCCTGTGCGCGTAATATCACGCAATATGCAAGGTTGCAAAATTATGCCATTGGAGAATAGGCATGGAGAGAGACAAATTGAGTAGGACGCTTTCAACGGCTCAACGTTAAAATTTTCTTTTACGTTTTTTCCCCAACTCCAAGTTCTCACAGGTCTAAGATGTCGTTTAGTCCTCAAGGTCTCATTTCGTACAAATAAAATAAGAGAGGATGTTGAAGAGATGGGCCCAAGCCACTCACAGAATTCAAAACTCCTCTTTTGTTTGGACTCACTTTATCTTAGCCATAGATACCCCTCACTTGTGCTCTCCACAGGTTGGAAATTGAATCTAATGTCCCGAGAAGGAAGCCCAACTTTATTGTTGAAGGATTTCAGGCATACTTTGAGTATCTCAAATCTCTTCAAATAGCCACACAGGATCCGATCACAACGGCAAACTCGGATTGGTGTTACACAGCAAATGTATCGGTGGGAGAGGAAGAACACAGGGAACGAAAAAGAGAAGTGGAAGCCGGAGAGATCACACTTCGGTTTTTGCTTATGCTTGTGATGAGAACCACCCCACTCCACAAAACTGTTTCGGCAAATAACCGTTTTGTCTTATCTCAATTTGCAATTTTAAACAAAATGGGGAAAATTGCAATTGTCAACCCAGATATTCTGTTATTTGCACCAGAATCCCAAACTTAATGGGTTTGATTCAATCCACCAAGGGTGGACTGGCCCATTTTCCTACATCTCCCACTCACACTTGGTGGATTAGATGTCCCGGGTCTAGTCTCTTTGTCTCCCCTCAATTCCATACATAATGCTTTGCCGTGACCGCGTGGGCATGACGTCTTCACTTGGGTCCCTGTACTAGAAGTCCTTTTTATAGGATCAGCACAAGTCACCTTCTCCTTTGTGTAGCTTGAATTTTAATGTTATGCCTCAGATGTCCCAGATTTACTTGTATACACTTTTTTATGGTAAATCTAATCCCTCTCGAGTCAATAGTTGACTCAGATTACCTTTCTCGTATGTTTAGTGTCCACACTTATGACCACGAAATGTCATAAGGGACATGTCACAGACACTAGCATAGGTGTTATATCACAGTCAATCTTCCTTTCGCCCAAATATCATTTTGAGATGAATTAGTCGCTTTCTTAGCATACTACCTTAGATTGCAGCAATCATGACCATATGACATATGTCAAAGTAGCAGTCACTAAAACATATCTTCGTGATATTGTCAAAGTCAAAGAACACCAACAGGAGGATAATTCCTCCATAGGACTCACACAGCAATGAAGCAGGGATCTTTCACTTGCTTCCCTTTTGCGGTTCTTCCAGCACATGTGGTATGAAACACATGCTACGGTGTTACTCTTTTACTATAAGAGCGTATGTCATTTTGGACTTATCATTAACACTGTATAGACTTAAGTTTAGACACATTCAGTATTTAAACCCAAATTCTTCAACTCTGCTCATTGTTATGACGTCGACGTTGAAGAGTTTATTATTTGGCTACAAGTATTATGGAAGTGGGATTCCAAACTTCGATCCAACTTTATCAACGTGGATCTCATCTTGACTTGCTACACTTTAGTCAAGGCGACATAAAGTTTGTGTTTCTTCCCTACCATATCAGCATTCATTGCTGCTTTACTGGTGAACACAAATGTCTCATCTTTGTTCACTCCACCTGAGTGTCAAAGGCGGTAGCCCGTGTGAAAGAGCCAACCTTTTTAACCTGTATGACATACTAGACATTGTATACTTTCAGACAGACACATAAAGTGATAACACAAAAGTATAATTTCATTATGAGGTTTACAAATTACACTTTACGTATGCCAAGGGTTTGCACATGTTCTTTAAAAACTTTTTCGCCTATTGGCTTTGTCAGAGGATTTGCTACCATACATTTGGTTGAAATGTACTGTACAGTAACAACCTTTTGTGCTATATAATCTCTAACAAAATTATACTTGATGTCACTGTGCTTGGTTTTGCTGTGATACTTAGGATCTTTAGTATAGGCTATGGCTGCAGTATTGTCACAGTATACCATCACCTAATTGGTACTCTTGTTTTCAAATCCAAGGTGTTCTATAAATCTCTTCAACCATAAAGCTTCTTGCACTGCTGCGGTGCATGCCACAAACTCAGCTTCCATTGAATGTAAGGCAATGCATGTTTGCTTCTTGCTACTCCAACATATGGCGCCATTGTTGAGCAAGAAGGTATAACCTGAAGTTGACCTTCGTTCTTCTTCATCTCTGCCTACATCAGCATCGGAGTACCCAACAAAGCACAGGTCGCTTCCTTCGTAGCACAATGCATAATTAGAAGTGCCTTTTAAGTATCTCAAAATCCTCTTCACTACTTTCCAATGTTTTTCACCGGGGTTAGACTGGAATCTGCTTACCAGTCCCACTACATAACATAGGTCTGGTCTTGTACACATCATTGCGTACATCAGACTACTAACAGCACTAACATATGGAACTCTTTCCATCTTCTTTTTGTCAGACTCGGTTTTGGGACACATGTCAGAACTCAAAGCCACTCCAATAGCAACAGGGGTACTCATGGGATTGCAGTCTTTCATGTTAAATCGCTCAAGAATCTTGTTGATATAATTCTCTTGTGAAAGAGAGAAGATTCGTTTTGAGCGATTTCTTTGGATCTTAACTCCAAGTATATACTCTGCTTCACCCATATCTTTCATTTCAAAATTCGACGAAAGCCATTCTTTAATAGCCACCACCAAATCTAGACTATTTCCAGCTAATAGTATATCGTCTACATATAAGGATAATATGACAAAATTACCCTCAAACCGCTTAATATAGACGCAGTGGTCTTCCTCTATCATTTGAAAGTCATATGAGGTTATTGCTTTGTGAAACCTCAAATACCAATGTCTGGATGATTGTTTCAATCCATAAATGGACCTTTTGAGTTTACAAACTTTGTTCTCTTTTCCTTTTTCAATAAAACCTAATGGTTGTTCCATATAAATTTCTTCATCCAGATCACCATTTAGGAATGCGGTTTTTACATCCATCTGATGTAATTTTAGGTCTAAACTATTTACTATTGCCAGAATAAGTCTAATAGAATTGAAACGCACAACAGGTGAGAACGTATCTTCATAATCTATTCCTTCCTGTTGTGTGTACCCCTTTACCACTAATCGAGTCTTGTATTTGTCAATTGATCCATCCACTTTTCTTTTAATCTTGAGAACTCACTTGTTCCCAATGGCTTTACGTCCTTTTAGAAGATCAACTAACACCCAAACTTGGTTCTTTTTCATTGAGTCTATTTCTTCTTCCATAGCTTTCATCCATTCATCTTTTGCAGGACCTGACAAGGCTTCTTGTATAGAACAGGGCTCATCATCCCCTTCTGGAGTAACTAAGAGAGATTCGCCCTCTATTTGAAAGCGCTTTTGGGAACACTTTTCCTGTTACTCCTTGTGACGGGAGCTATTTGCTTTTCTTTCTTTCTTTGTTCAGGTCTCAGTATTGACCTTTCTTTGCTCCCACTCAGATTGACACACCTAGACGATTCTGGTTTGTCAATTTGTTCTGCACTCTCTTGTTCTTGTGTCTCATAAAGGGAAATAGTGCGGTTAACATCTCCTCTATTAGGAAATTCAGTCTCAATGAATGTTACATCCCTTGATTCTATTTCAGTCATCGTTCCATCTTCGTTTTCACCTATGAAAACATATCCCTTTGATTGTTCAGAGTACCTTATGAAGATACATTTCTTTCCTCTAGGACCCAACTTCCCATGCTTATGAGAAGCGTCATGGATATACGCCGCTGACCC